TAGTGCTCATGGGGCAGGGGCATCTGAAGGGGTGGTTATACCACCTACTCCGCAGTTAGTTATTTCACCTGGAATCTTGTCAGGACTTCAAGGGGACTCATCTGCTGCAAAAGCACAAGCTTCTCCGGATGATTATCGTATTTTGGATTTTGATGAGGAGGAAAAATCCAAGAAGATGGAGGAGAAGATCAAACATTTAGAAGACCAAATGAAAACGGTTAAAGGAGATGACAACTATTATGGAGTCGATGCTCTGGAATTAAGTCTAATCCCGAATTTGATTCTTCCTCCTATGTTTAAAGTCCCAGATTTCGAGAAGTTTGATGGGAACAGTTGCCCCTTAGCTCACATTACCATGTTCTGTCGAAAGATGACAAGATATGTCAGAAATGACCAGCTCATGATTCACTGTTTCAAGGAGAGTCTGGCAGGTTCAGCCATTCGATGGTACAATCAACTGAATCATTCACACATCATGACATGGAAAGGTCTTGCCAAGTCGTTCTTAGAGCAATACAAGCACATGAATGACATGAGACTAGATCGTGTTATGCTGCAAAGTATGGAGAAAAAGCATAACGAAAGCCTTAGGCAATATGCACAACGATTGAGGGATTTAGTCGCGTTGGTTCATACAACTTTGGATGAAAAAGAAACAAGGAAGCTTTTTGTACATACACTGAATTCTCCTTTCTTCGGGCATTTGGTTGCAATTATATCTGGAAATTTTTCTGATTTGGTGATGGCCGGAGAGATTATAGAAACGACCATTAAGAAAGGAAAGATATAATGAGGTGAGTCAAGTAGAAGACCTCCCATAAAGAAGAGAGAATGAGATATCAACAACATCAACGTTTTCAACACCAGTAAAAATGTTATCATCTCTAAATCAAAACCAATTGCAACTGTACTGTCAGATACTTATAGACAAGATTCGAGGGAACCATTGAGAGAAAGAGAAATGAAGCATTTTTTATCCTATTCCCATAACATATAAGGAGCTTTATCAACAGCTTTTTGACACACATGTGGTGTCACCATATCTAGAGGAACCTCTAAAGCCCCCATGCCCCCATGCCCCAGGTGGTATGATGAAAATGCACACTATGAATATCATGACGGTGTCCCGGGGCATGCTATCGAAAACTGCCTTGCCTTTAAGATGATTATCCAAAGAATACGCAACAAGAACTAGATTCACTTCAATAATTCAGAGACCTAATGTTGCACATAATCCTCTGCCTAACCATCAAGAGAATGGGGTTAATGCAATTATCGAGGAGAATGACAAGAATGTCAAAACTAAAGTTTCCGAAATGAAGTCACCTCTGGCTTGGGTATGGAGGCAAATGATAAATACGGGGTTTCTTGTACCGCATCCTAGCACATCAGATTGTAAAGGTGGCAGTCATTTCTGTTATCACAATGAGGAAAAACATGATGTACAAGAATGTGTCAAATTTAGAGCCTTGATCCAGCTAATGATGGACAGAAAAGATGTAACACCCCCAACCCGTATCCGACCCGGATCCGAGTCTGAGGTGTCACATTGACTTTTCAAAACGTTTTTCTTTATAATTAGATAAAAACATAAATTCACAATTTTAAAAAAATGAATACTTTACATCAATTAAAACTCAATTGGTTCTACAAACATATCAGAGCATATTCAACTCAATTAATTGTACATGCCAACTATATTCAATATAAAAAATACATAATCATATATATTTCTTTTCTGATATGAACTTCTTAAAGGAGATGTTGACATGTCTTGCTCCTCTTAGCTTCTCTTCTCGTTTTCCGGAACCTACGTGTGAAACACTCACACGCTAAGTCGATGACTTAGTGAGGCATATAAACATATAATGGAAACTCTAACTTATAATCATGCATGAACAATTACTACATCATATCATACACAAGCATATATCCGTTCATATATCAAATCCACATATGTACATATATAATTATCTTCTTTCTTATCATTATCATATTATTATCATTAATATTATCGTATAATCATGTACTTATCATTTATATACATCATATAACACATATATTATTTCACAAAGGACCACACCTATAAGCATATCAAGTTTCTTTATATTATCTCTTTGTTAGTCCATGTAAACATGTGAGAACTTAAGGTATGCAAGTACTTTGAGGTTGTGCACACATATGTTGTCACTACAGCTTGTATAAGGGTCCACTGAGTGGCATGTGAAATATGTCCCTAAGGACCTATCCATATGTTCCGAAGAACATAGGTAACATGTCCATATGTCCCGAAGGACATAGGTAATCATATCCATATGTCCCGAAGGACATAGGTAACCCTTGACTCTTAGCATGCCAACTATACCTCTAGCCCTCATAACACATAACATGGGCATTATTATTATTTATATCATTTCATATATTCACATGTACATATCACTGTTCATATGATTTCATATTCATATTCATATGTCACTTATCTTATAACACTTTATGTGTTCATATAACATGTATATCATTTTCATCTCTTGTTCACATATGTTCCCATATATCATATATATCACATATTTATATAATCCATTGTGTTCATATCATATAACTTATATTTGTATTCTTATATACTCACATAATTATCTATTAATCCAACTATTGACAAGTCAAATTTGGTTTAAAATTCAACTTATCAACTCTTTTCTAAGATTTCATTTAAAAACCACTTATCTTTAATCCTTTCTGACTTAATTATCTTAGGGTTTTAAGTAATCTTAAGCCTTCCTTGAACTTTTTTTTTATTACTCCAAGAATCAAAACCAACTTTAAAACGAAAGAATTAACCAACTTGAGACCAACTTACCTTATCAACATAGCCACGGGAAGAGGAGGAGAAGAAAACCAACCAAGACTCCAGAGCTTTCTTTCATTTCTCTCCATCTCCACGTGTTGATCTCCTATATAAAGGGAGAAATAAAATCCTTCCTTAGAAAAGAAAATTTTACCCCTTACTTCACTTAATATTTACTAAACAATCATCCATAAAATATTACCAATTTAGTCCCTAAACTTTTCAATCTTTCAAAAAGACCTCCAAGTTTCAACATTTCCATTTTAGTCACTAGCCCCGATTTTGGGATATTACAAAAGAGCTGCTTAATATACTTTTTAGTGCCTAAACTATACCTCAAAATACGATTTGATGTCTAAAGCTTTTTTTCTAACAATAAGCATCTAACGTTTTCTCAGTTATACTTTTAGGTTCCTACCATTATATTTTTTATTTTTGAATAATAAAAATATTATTTCTTAAAAAATAAAAAATTTAAAAGTTTAATTAATTTATAAAAAACTAATTTTTTTAAATTATAAAATAACCCCAAAAAACCCTAAAATCTATAACTTCAAACTCATTTTCAGCCATTGTCGGTTATCCCCGGCCACCATCTCCATCGCCAAAAGGCCACCTACCTATCTCTGCCACCCATTGATCGGTTATTACTTTTGACATTACATAAAATCTCTAAATACCTAAACCCTTAAATCCTTAACCATAACTCTAACCCTAAATTTAATCGATCATCATTATCGTTATTGCCATTGACGGTCGCCATTGCCGCTGTTGGCAACCATCTTCCCATTCTCGTGTTTTGTTGGGGGAGGGGGAGGGAGAAGGTTGGGATCTTTTTAAAAAAATGTTTTTTCGATAATATATTTATTGTTAATAAAAATAAAAGAAGCATAAAAAAATGTTTAAAATTTTATATGTGTGACACGTGTCAGATAACAATCAAACTTAGTGATTGTTACGGTCTAAGCACTTAAAAGTATAATGTTGGAACCGTTAAACGTCTATTATTAGCAAAAAAACTCTTTAGACATCAAATCGTATTTTGAGATTAGTTTAGGAACTAAAAAATAAAAAGTGTACTAAGCTTCTTCTTTTTTTTGGGAAGCTAGCATATTTTTCTGGACATTATAAACTATCATTGCCTAACCATTTCTATTTTCTCATAGGATTTTTGGTACCGATAAGGGTTACAGAAAATTGAAAGCACTAAAACGTAGCTGATGGAGTCGAAACATAATTGAGGCTGAGCTTTCTTCTCTGCACGTCGTGTGTTCAATTGCTGTTTTTGCAGCATTGTTTCTTGCAGCATTTAGCCACATGAATGATACGTTGCTGTCCTATTTGCAACTCTCTTTTACCTTCTTAGAGTACCTCTAATTCTTTTGCTATGCACAACTCGGGTCTCTCCTCAAATACGCATCTACCGTGAATAAATCTTTAATTCTAAAAAAGTGACGTGGGAACTTCCTTTTTTGTACAAGACTGAATCTCTAATCTTCACTACAGTGGGGGAGATTGATGCCATATTTTGACCCAAAAGATGTTCTTAAACCTCAAATAACTCCTCAGATCCACCACGACTACGCTTACGTTGGCCGTACTGCGCCTGCCCAATGCCAGCGCCTCACTGACCATTTACCAGCACAGCAACATTCATTTCAAAGCCTAATAAGAAGCAGCCCACGGCAATAAACTACCAATAACGACAAGTGTTAAACTCATCTGACCCTGATAATTACGCACTTCAATACCAAAGATTCTCTTTAGAAGCTGATCAAGGACAAATCAGAACTCGTCCCCAGGTTGATTTCTTCTCCTAAAGAGTCCATAAAAGGAATTAAAACTGCACTCTTGAATTGAACTCAAATTCAAACAGTTACATATATAAGATATATCCATTAATTAAGGAAAAAAAATGAACACATCCTACCTTTTAATTACTCCATACTATTAAAAAAGAGAAATAGAGACCCGCAGCACTATGCCTAACAAAGCTGGCATTAATGTTACTTAAATTAATGAAAACTGGAAAACAATTTCCAAATTGTGGGAAAACAGTTATTACCAGAAATATAGCGGTAAAGGTCCGCAAAAGGTTGTACTCGAGAAATCCTCACTTATCCAGCTGCCAGCAGTAAACACAAACTACATTAAGCTCTAACCAATAAAGACAAGCTTTAAAATATGAATATTTGTTCGACAAGAAAATACATGAAATAACACATTAGTGCCAAAATAAATAAAAAAGTTTCAGCCAGTGATGCCTTCTTTGCTTTGAGTGACTCGAGTGCCCTATTCCTTCTCTCAAATCTCAATTTCAAGCTTATTCTGCTCAGTCTCCGTCTTTTCATCAGAACTCGGATGAGACTTCCTCCTAACCACATCCTCATCATTGTTATCCTGACCTTTCATTTTAAGCTTCTCCATTTGTCGTTCTTCTCTTCTGCGACGCTGCTCATCACGACGTCTACGCTTTCTTAATCTCCGTTCTTCCTTCCTCCTCTTAGCTTCATTCCTATCCTCAATTTCAGAGTCGGCGCTTGAATCATCATCTGATGTAATTTCACGCTTCTCAGACCTTTTATGCTTTCTCCTCTCGTTATGCTTACTTCTGTGTTTACCACTTCCTTCAGAAACTGAATCAAAACAATTGTTGTTATGATCAAGTTTTTCAAGTGGCATCGGTGAGGTTTCGCTTTTGTGGTGTTTATCACCATCCTTCATAATATTTTGACGAGAACGACTCCAGTCATCAGATCTTTTTCCTGCTCCCAGATGCAATGCACTTTGCTTCTCACCTTGAAAAGAGTCCTGAGATAATGCTGGTGATCTCTGTTGATCCGAGTTCCCAGATGAACCCCTTTCCCAGAAGACCTCTTGCTGTAAGGAATAAACTAGAACAGTCATCGTCTAAAAAGATCCAAAAGATTCACTACAGCAAAAAATCCGATTAATCTGAAATCAAACCTGCTTCTGCTGTCTCCATCTTTACTGCCGCTGCCTTTACTGTCATGCTGTCCTTTCAATTCTCTCGATTCCCGTTCAGGACTGAAGCTATCATCATGAGCAATTTGCTCCCTCTGTTGCCTCATAGGACTGTCATGTAGACTTGACGTTCTTCAGAATCAACAATGTGGAAAAGAAATAGGTTGCATAAGCATGGATGCCAAAAAATAACAGATTATGATACAAATAAAACATCTCAAAACAAAGTTTAATAATTTACCTCCTATCTTCACTGGTAGACTGTTTTCTCTGTGATGGAGATCTGCAGACAGGAGACAACTTTCCAGACATTCTGCACCATACACTTCAGCCACTTAATAAATCTAAGAAGTTTCGAATTAACAAAATCTGTAGAACAGGAAATTAACTTACCGTTGTCTTTCCCCAGGAGAAAGAAAAGGTGATCTTTGATCCTTCTGAAACTTCCTAAGCGGTGAAGATCTACATTGCAGGGGAGAAGCAGATCTTGATTGATAAGGTGAAGGAGGCTTACCATGTGAAGGAGTTATTGACCTCCGGCTGGTGGCTGGTGATCTACAGCATTCAGGAGAGGATGACCTATGTCTTGGTGTTGATGATCTACGACGGCGATGTCGCACAACGGAGGGAGACCTGTTTTGCAAAGGTGATGGAGATCTACAATGAACAGGTAATGGAGATCTACGATGAACAGGTAATGGAGATCTACGATGTGTTGACGAAGAAGATTTGCGGCGCACAGGGGAACGAGATATACGGTGCACATCTAATGGAGATCTATGTTGACGAATAAGAGACGGAGACGTGCGATGTCGCATTGATACCGGTGATTTATGATGTCGGATGGGAGATGGTGATCTGCGACGCCGGATGGGAGATGGTGATCTGTGACGCCGGTTAGGAGACTGTGATCTGCGACGCCGGATTGGTGAAGGTGACCTACGATGTCGGACAGGTGATGGTGATGGTGATCTGCGACGTCGGACAGGTGATGGTGATCTGCGACGTCGGACAGGTGATGGTGATCTGCGACGTCGGATAGTTGATGGTGATCTGCGACGTCGGACAGTTGATGGTGATCTGTATCTATAAGGAGAACGCAATCTACGCCTTACAGGCGATGGTGATCTGCGAGGTGAATGAGATCGAGACCTTGCTTAGTATAAGATGATCTTCGTCTTGAAGGAGAGCGTGATGACTGTGGTGACGGTGAATATCTAGAACGAGGAGTTGGAGATCTTCTTGGGGAACGATATTTCTTATCAAAGGAAATGGAGCTCCGTCGAGGATGAGGTGATCTTGATACACTCCTAGATTTCTCTTTGCCACTGCAAGAAAATTCAGATGCTAAAATCTCAAAAAAAAATCTTTACACCACCTATGCTTATGAAGCTATTAGAAACATAAAAATTAAATGTGTGGTCATCCATGTCAAGTATAGAAAGTTCAACATAAAAAATCATCCTAGTTCAATGATCAGAATGTATTTATGCCATTAGTTCTATAGATTGAGAGGACATACTCTGAATAGCTTCTTGAATTAGAAAATGATCTGCTGACTGAACGAGAAAGTGGTCTTCTGCACATAAACCCATGATATTTAATAAACAGGTTTCATGATTGCAACCTAAGCAATACATCTAAAACCTAGCGGTGATTAAATTACCGAGGGGATGGAAGGAGAACAGTTGAACGAGGAGATCGGGAACCCCTGCAAGAGATTAATACAATAGAATTGTTCTAAAGGTTAAAATACAAAGTTTTAAACATTTTGCATCCATTTACTTCAAATATATATATTTTATTTTTAAGAACCACTGCATCATAATCCCTCAACTTACAGAACTACCATTGAAACGAAAAGGCTACCAACTCTAGAGCTGAGCAAAGAACAAAAGAAAACTGAAAACCAATTCAAATATAAAAATAAATATTTTACATTTAAAATGATGAAAATAACAGAAAAATACTATATGAAAAATTATTTTAAAATGATTAGAACAATTGAACCGGACCGATCTGAACTGGTGGAATTCAGTTCAGATCGATTCATGTATCTCTGGTATTCGGTTTGGTTTTAAGAGAAAAAACAGAATACCACATGGACAACCACGTTTTTTCCAAAACCAATTCAAAACGTTATCATCAGTGATCACTTCAAGCCATTTTAATGCACAATCTTCAACTTCAAAAAATTGAAGTTCTTTACAATTTAGTACTCCCAGCTCGGGAGTAGGGAAAACAGTCCTATAGAATATGAGGGGAAGGGGGGGATGCTACCTAAAATTGCATAGTCCAAAACTCAATTGGTTTTGCGTAAAGAAAAAAAGAGAAAATATCAAATTCCAAATTCCCCACCTCCCAAAAGAAAGCCCCAAACTAACAACAGCCGCAAACTTTTAGCTGATATGATACTACTTGATCTGTACAAAAGCCACAGCCCACACGTATGACACAGAGACGGGAGGGGGAAAAAGCACCAAACAAAAGCTAATATAAAGAAGCTAAATTGCTCACCTCTTCCTTCCGAGACCATTCCTTTGGTCAGCATCTCTCTCTTCCTCGTGGGATACACTTGAACCTTTTGGCAGCATATTCTTCGATGAAAGATCCAACTCCATATCTGCAGCCTTGCTTTCATCCCCATTGTCCTACAGTAGTTTGAGGTAAAGGACATGAACCCAAATAATTGCAGAAGCTAGCTGAGTGGCATAAAAAACACAAATGGAAGTCAAAACCAGAAACACAACTTCAAAGTTGCAACAACCATCTTTCGTAATCTCTCTTCTTCAAGTTCTCTACTTTCCTTATTCTTCTTCTTCTGAATCTCGTTTGCTATCAGATCTGACTCTGCCTGCAACCATCCACACTAACATTGTTAAACACGAGAAAAGAGAAGCACTAACAGAGACGCAAACCAGAATCCTAGAGATATTTTTAACCTTTTTCTTCCTAGTTTCTTCTTCTTTGGCATCCAAGAATTGTTGAGGAACACCACTTGCATTTCTCTGCGCACTAAGCAATAGAGTCCAAAGCTCTTTCATGAACTTTCCCGTATTCTTCTCCATGAATCCAGTGAGGGATATCTGAACTTCCTTGCCATTAACTCCCTGCATAGGAATAAACAACAAGATGGATTATAAATAACATTGAACGGTTACCAAAATCCCAAACTGACATACGCTTAGCATGAAAACCATAAGATAGAAGATACGGCCCATAGTTCTGCCAAAGATTTAATGAGTGACCATCCATCAGTGCGCACTTTCTCGCTGATACAACGTACGTATTCAAAGTTTTTGATCCCACTGCTAGCAGTATCACTTTCGAGCCACATAGAACTATAATAGTACACAATCATTACTAGAGAAAACAAAATCTATAGGGGAATACACAATAATACCTTTCCATCAAGAATACCATAGATGAAGTTAATTAAAACTTCATCTTCAAAACCAAGAAACTCAGTTACCCGAGTCGCAATCCAAGGTCTCATAACGTCCATCTTAACCTTCGTCATATCAACCTGAAAAAGAAAAGTAACAATGTTTCTTTCCTTCAAATAAAACCTAACATAGAACATTAACGCAAATATGGCAAACAATTATGGCAGAAAATGGTGCATTTAAAAACCAACCAGATGCTCTAATTCGGGAGCGAATTTCTGGGATTTCAGTAGCTTCGCCTGCTTATTCGAGAACCGAGTGTCTTGGTCAGCCGAAGTACCCTAAATTTGAAAAGAATAAATAAATTAGTCGGAAACGGAATCGATTTCGAAGATCTAAATAATACAGTACACACGAGGGGGAATATTAAAGAAAATTACCCGGAAAAATCCGCCCGACATTTTCAGGGTTTGAAGCGTGATTCCTTATTTAAGATGACGAGTGCTAGAAATATTCGTTAGAGAAAATGAGAGATCGGTATTTAAGATGACGAGTGCTAGAAATATTCGTTAGAGAAAATGAGAGATTGGTACTTCAATTTTACGCCATGAAAATGGAAGTCTAGGGTTTGCGGATTAAATTTGAGTCTAGGTGAAAGTAGGAGAAGAAAAATGTTGAATGCTTCAATTAATCCCTATGCTAATTATAAATTATAAGTTTAATCTATATATTTTTAATTTAATCATTTTAGTTTTATACTTTTCAAATTTCCATATTTCATATTTCACTCAAATAATAGAGTTAAATATATTAAATCAAATTTCATTATTAATCCCTATGTTATATGTAAATTTTAAATTCAATTTATATTCTTTAATTTGATTAATTTTACGTTTTTATAAATATGCAATATCATTCTTAAACACAACAATTAAATGGCTTAATATAAAAACAAGTGCTTAAACTATGTCTCGAAAAACATTTTATTGCCTAAAGAATTTTTCGTTAAAAATATGTGTCTAATGTTTCCAACGTTACGTTTTTAAGTGTCCAATCGTTAATCACCTTTAAATATATTCGTTAAGTGATACGTGTCATGTTCTAATAATTTTGAGAATTTATTTACAAAAATATATTTTTATTAAAAGAAACTTAAAATCCCAAACAACAGCAAATTATGCCTTTCCCTTCTCCCCTTCTTTCTTCCCCCTTTTTCATTTCCCTTCTATAGACGTCGGTCGGTCAGTCGTGACTGTCACCGTCACTGTCATCAACGCCTACGTCGACCCCCAATCAAACCCCTATTGGTCTTTTTTCGTAATCTTCCATTGTTTGTCGTGGAAAAATGTTAAAAGGTTCATCAGATTTTAAGCCACCGTAATTATTCTTCGTCGATTCCGACGTTCATAAGCCACACCGTCACCACCATTCGGACCACCATGCAATTCTAATCAAAACCCAATAGTTCAACGATGATGATGATGGTCGGAGATGGCCGACTACGGTTGGTAATTGGGACTAAAATGAGAAATTTTAGTTTTTAGGGTTTTCTTATAATTTTAGTAAAAATTAGATTTTTTATAAAAAAATTAAGCTTTTTATTTTATAAAAAATAAAAATTTAAAAATATAACGATAGACATATAAAAATATAACTAAGAAAACGCTAAACATCTACTTTACGAAAAATTCTTTAAATATTAAAACGTTTTCAAAACATAGTTTAAACACTTATTTTGTATCAAGCCTAACTAAATCTATATCCATCGAGATGCAATACTAACTAAATTTATATCCATCGAGATGCAATACTATAACTAGTGTACTACAATAGCATATTCTCTGGTTTGTATGTTGTTTTAGGCTTCAAAAATTTACTCATGGTAGATTATTATTATTATTTTGTTCGGGAAGAGAGTGAAATCCATACAATCACCGATAGGGATTGCAAACGGGCACGACAGGTACATATACTCATTCTCCATCTCTATATCTACCTAATATTTTTGTATCCATTACATATCCATCACCTAAAACGAATAATTTTTTTAAATTCACATCCGTCCACACATGTATATTCTCAAATCTACATCAACCTACATGAAACCTGATAGACTACGAAATATTTTCCAAATATTTTGTATTTACTGTTGTATATTTAGTTGCCTAAATTATAGCCTAATTACTAAATTATAGCCTAATTGTAAGGATTGTATCTACTAATGACTGTGTATATATTGAACCCCTGTGGTAATGAGAAAGGCACGAAATTACATTCTTTCCTGGTATCAGCTACGGTTGATCTATTATAGCTTCCACAACCCTATTTTTTTCTTCCTCTTCTTCTCTATCTTCTGTCCTTCCGTCTAACATGGCTCCCACATCATCTTCTTCATCCTTTCACCATGCTCTTGTTGTTTCTAACATCAAGACACATGTTCCCATCATTCTTGAGATGGAGAACGTCCAGTATACAAATTGGGCGGAGTTATTCAAGGTCCATTATCGATCTCACAAGGTTCTTTATAATATTATCCCACCAAAATCTAAGGACGGGAAGGCCACAGAGTCGACCACCCTTAGTCAGGAAGAACAAGAGCTGTGGGATACGTTAGATGCTGTTGTGGTTCAGTGGATTTATTCCACGATTTCGACAGATCTCTTGAATACCGTTATTGAAGCCGATGTTTCTGCCATGTCTCTATGGAATCGTCTTCGCGATTTGTTTCAAGATAATGAGAACTCTCGTGTCGTTTCCTTGGAACACGAGTTTAACAACACCTACTTGAAGGATTTCTCCTCGGTTTCTGTATATTGCCAGCACCTCAAAATACTTTCCGACCAACTCAAGAATGTGGGTGCTCCGGTTTCAAACAATCATCTTGTTCTTCGCACGGTGGGTGGTCTCACACCGGCTTACAAGGGAGTTGCTTCTGTTATTCGCCACAAAAATGTACTACCACCTTTTTATGAAGTTCGATCGATGTTTGCCTTAGAAGAAACCAGCATGAAGGAGGTGACGGCTGATGATACGATGATGGTGACTAATCATGACACTGATGAGATTTCTAATCATCCTCCTCTAGGTCGCGCACGTGGGAAACAAAACAAGCACTGCGATAACAAAAATCGCAAACCTACTAGTAGTGGAGTTCAAACACCAGGTGCTAGACGTGGTGGCAACCGTGGAGGTGGTCCGAATTTGGACGGTGGTCAGCAGGGTCCGATGCAACCACCATGGGCTATGCCTCCTTGATCGACATGGATACAACTACCTTGGGCCATTCCTCCTTGTCCATATCCGACTCAACCAAGTTGGACCACGACAGCCTGGTATTCTAGGAGCACGACCCCAACAGTAGTAAGCCTATGCTACAGCGTCCCAGTGGGCTCCGACGGATATTGAGTCCGCCATACACACCGCGTCCCAGTGGGCTCTGACGGATATTGAGTCCGCCATGCACACCATATCTCTCTCTCAACCAGATCCAAACTGGTATATAGATACTGGGGCGACGTCTCATATGACATCAACACAAGGTAATCTCTCGTCTTATGTTAATATGAGCAAAAATAATGGTGTTACTGTTGGTAGTGGTCAATCAATTCTAATTCGTGGTTACAGTCATACCTTATTACCTTCCTCGAACCCATCTTTATCTCTTAAACATGTCTTGCATACTCTGAATCTTATTAAAAATTTAGTGTGTTCGGAAATTTACAACTGATAATAATGTGTCAGTGGTGTTTGATCCTTGTGGGTTTTTCGTGCATGATTTACAGACGGGGAGACGTCTAATGAGATGTGATAGTACCAGCTCTCTCTACCCAATCACTCCCACCAGGCCACATCCAACCTCCTCTCTTACTGCCTTGCTTGCTTCAACGCTTTGGCATGACCATTTAGGTCACTCGGGCGACTCCATTTTATCTATTCTTCAGCAAAATAAACTGATTACTTATAATAGTCCATCTAAGTCTACTACTAGTCAATCTTGTGTACTGGGAAAACATATTCGGTTGCCTTTTGTTCTTTCAACTTCTCAAACTTTCATGCCTTTTGATATTATTCATAGTGATCTTTGGACCTCTCTGATTTTGAGTTCTTCGAAACATCGTTATTATGTGCTTTTTTTGGATGATTATTCGAAATTCTTGGGGACTTTTCCCATTGCTAATAAATCACAAGTATTCTCCATTTTTACTAAATTCCAAGCTCATATTCGTACCCAGTTTGAACGAGATATCAAAACCATACAATGTGATAATGGGGGAGAGTTTGATAATGCCTCTTTTCGGCAATTCTGTGAGTCTCATGGCATTTCTTTTCGTTTCTCCTGCCCTTATACCTCCTCACAAAATGGGAAGGCCGAACAAAAAATAAGATCCATTAATAATATCATGCGCATACTACTTATTTATGCCTCTTTGCTACCTTCTTTTTAGCATCACGCGCTTCATATAGCAACCCATCTTTTGAATATTCTTCTAGTACACTACTAGCCGATGCGTCTCATCTACAAATTTTACACCACCGGGTTCCCTCTTATTCTCACATTCGAGTTTTCGGGTGCTTGTGTTATCCTCTTATTCCATCCACGACTATTCACAAATTACAAGCTCGATCAACTCCCTGTGTTTTCTTGGGTTATCCCGATAATCATCGAGGCTATAAGTGTTTTGATTTATCCAACAATAAAATCATAATCTGCAGGTATGTACAATTTGATGAAACTATCTTCCCTTTTGCCAAAGTCCATCAACCTAGTACAGGTGATTATGATTTTTTGAATGATGGCGTGTCGTCGAATCTTCTTCATAAAAACCAACCACAACAGCCTCCATTTTCTTCTCCTACGGCCCAGCCAGTCATGTCTTCTCCAGCCTCTCACTCATCTATGAGCAAACATTCGCAGTCCCATCTCCTCTAAAATCCTCACTAATTTGGCCCAAACCGCCCCATGTTCCATTCGAATGCCCTGTCACCCGCAGCCAGCATGGTATCTTTAAGCCAAAAACTATATTTGACCCATCCGAGGCCCATACTATCACGGTTACGAGATCTCCTCTCCCCCGTAGCCCTGTGGTTGCACTTCGTGACCAGAATTAGAAGTTGGTTATGACTGACGAATATGATGCTCTTATTAAAAATAAGACGCGGGATTTGGTACCCCGCCCTCCTGGAGTTAATGTCATTCATTCTATGTGGATTTTTACTCATAAAATAAAGTCTGATGGTTCATTTGAGAGGCATAAGGCCCGTCTTGTAGGTGATGGTAAAACTCAGCGTGTTGGTATTGATTGTAGATAGACTTTCAGTCCGGTAGTGAAACCAGCAACAATTCGTACTGTGCTTAGTCTTGCCCTGTCGAAACAATGGTCGATTCATCAGTTAGATGTAAGCAATGCTTTTTTGCATGGTGACCTCAAGGAAACGGTTTATATGCATCAACCTATGGGATTTCGAGATCAAGTGCATCCTGATTATGTCTGTTTACTGCGTAAATCTCTCTATGGGCTCAAATAAGCCCCTCGGGCGTGGTACAAGAGGTTTGCTGATTTTGTTTCTTCCATTGGTTTCTCTAACAGTAAATCAAATACTTCCTTATTTCTTTACAA